GTCCAATAATCGTTCAGTCTCTATCGGTTCTTCAATGGGTTCAATTCGACGTCCTCACTAGAATAAGTTGTGGGAGTATGGTAGACGGCAATGATTGACAAAAAAAAAAGTTGCAATATAGTCAACAATTACATTTTTCCAGCAGATTTTTGTAATTGTGAGAAAGATAGCGAAAAGAGTAGCCATAAGCTAATATACGGTAAAACAAACCAAAAGCTGCATAAAATTAGAATTTTTAGTGATATCAATAATAACTAAATTGCTTTACAAAAATTTTCGTCAAGAGCAAGTAATTAAAAATTTTGGTAACTAAAAACTTGGAGGTAATTTGGTCAATTTACAAAACCAAGTGCATTGCACGTGCTAAATTTAGTCCGAAATTGGGCTGTCTGATGTAATTGTACCTGACTAGAAAAATTATAATAGCATGGAGGTGAATTGATTCAATTAAATATTCAGGAGGACAATGTGAGGAAGAGGCGATTTTCAAAGCCAGTTTATGGGAATTAATCCCATTTATAATGCATGAAATTTTAGTGCGTAATTTTCTCCAAAATTTGCTAGTTACAACTTACAACAGGTAGAAAGTGCAAAAAATTTTGAAACGTTTATTTCCCCTTAAAAATCAACATACACAATTAAACAAACTACTAAATTCTCGTCAAGGAGGTCATGATCTTATGGCTAAAGTTGAGACACTGAGAATTAGATTCTGTAGTTCAAATCCTACCCCCTCCCCTGTTGGAAAAGAAAAAGAAAACTCTCATTTTCCATACTAATCCATGTATCCAAACAATTGAAAGTTCTCTTGGCATGTAAGTGAAAAGCTACAAGTAATTTTGACTCTTCTTTGCTCCAAGCTTTAATTTTTTAAAGCTCCACCTTCTTCGCACCAAGCTTTTAAGTTTTTAAAGCTTCCCTTTCTGCTAATGATCGATGCCGGCAATTATTCCAATGTGTAATTCTTGCCAATTGTGTTTCTCAATTAGTGAGCTTATATACTTCAAAGACCAAGTTCCTCTCACTATTAAAGCCATCTTGTTTCATGAACAACTACGTATTATCCAATAACTTTGGCCTTGTCAGCTCTGAAGTTAACTAAAATGTCTCTTGTGATTTTCAGTTTTTTGGCCATGGAGAATCTCTACTGCTGCCTCATCACCATCTTATCGTGTTCTTTGCTTCTCATCTCCAAAAACTTGCTATTCAACCATGTCAAGAACAAGAAGTTACCGCCAAGTCCACTTGCTCTGCCAATAATTGGCCATCTTTACCTTATCAAGAACTCACTCTTCCAAGACTTAACTTCATTATCAGCTAAATATGGTCCAATATTCTCTCTCCAATTCGGTTGGCGTTCCTTTGTTGTTGTGTCATCTCCAGCTGCCATTGAAGAGTGCTTCACCAAGAATGATATTACACTTGCAAACCGTCCTCGGACCATGGCTGGAGATAGATTTACCTATAACTACACAGGCCTTGGGGTGGCCCCTTATGGCGACTTGTGGAGGGTTCTTCGTCGCCTCTTTGTCGTTGAATCTCTCTCTTTCAACAGCCTCCAGAGGACTTCAGTTATCAGGGAAGAGGAATGTCAGATGATTCTCAGGTCAATCTACAGAGTTTCAAAGAATGAAAGCCAAGCAAGAGTTGATTTGAGCCATTGGATTTCTGTTTTTACACTCAATGTTATCATGAGGATGCTTGTTGGAAGATGCTCCATCAGAGAGGAGGATGCTGGACAGGAGATGGGCCTGCAAATAATTGAAGAATTCAGAGAAATGTTTGGTTCAAGCATTTCAATGAATTTGTGTGACTTCTTCCCTGTGTTAAGGTGGCTTGGCTACAAAGGGTTGGAAAAGGAAATGATCTCTTTGCAGAAGAAGAGAGATAATTTCGGTCAGGGTTTCATAGATGAATTTCGATGTTCAAATACTCTGCTGGACAAGGAGAGGAAGGCACTGATTGCAAATCTACTTTCTCGCAAGGAAAAAGATTCTGATTTTTTATCAGATGACGCCATAAAGAGTTTTGCATTTGTAAGTGCAATATGCCTCATGTTTTCCTTACTTCACGAGCTTATCCGATTTCAGTGAAATTTGGAATGGCAGAATATACTTTATTTTCCCTTTTCCTCTTTTTATGCATTTACACTTGTGATGAACTAATTATTTTGCAGAACTTGTTTCACTTGCTCAATTGCTATCTTCAGCAACATAAAGTTAATATGGTTATTAGTTAAACTCATTAGGCTGCACTCTACAGTGAGGCATCAGTGAGAGCTCTACATGAACCTTTAGCCATTGATTCTTTGCCTGTGGGATTTAAATGCCAAAACTCGGATTCTGATACTAAGATAAGATTAGTAATCAAGGTCACAATCTGATACTTTGTTCTTAGTTTTGTTAATTGTGATGCTAGCAGGTAAGATTTGAGTATGAGGTTTTACTTAGCAAATTCGTGTAAACAACCCCCCCTTAATTTCACCAAAACAATCTTCTCAAATGATAAGAACCTCGGCCTTGATGCATTTGAGCTCATTGGTTGTCATCACCCTTTCCCTTGCTTGTGCTTAGTAAAGCATTTTCAGAAGGATGATCTTGTTGGCGTTGGAGAAAGTGTTTAAAAGCTACCTTTCTGGGATTCTTTCCTACCCTAATCTTAAGCATTTTACTTTGCCTAACATATGCAATCCTTGATCCAGATAATGTTTACAGCAGGAAGAGAAACGTCCACGCTGACCATCGAATGGGCTATGCTGCTTTTGCTAAATAACCCGAAGGCACTACAGAAACTCAGGACTGAGATTGACATCAACATAGGACATGGAAGACTGTTGAGAGAATCCGATATCCCAAAGCTTCCTTATCTTCGTTGTGTTGTCAATGAGACAATGAGACTGTACCCCGCAGCGCCACTTCTGCTACCTCATTATGCATCTGAAGATTGCAAGGTAGGGATGTATGACATTCCGAAAGGTACAATTGTTTTAGCTAATGCCTGGGCCGTGCATCGGGATCCAAAACTCTGGGAGGAGCCAGAGAAATTCATGCCAGAAAGATTCGAAGCGAAGAAATTGATGGACAAAGAAGAGTTCAATTCCAAGTTCTTGCCATTTGGGATGGGGAGGAGAGCTTGTCCAGGAGCCAATCTAGGCGTTCGGAGTGTTTCATTGGCAATCGGTACATTCATCCAATGTTTTGATTGGGATAAAGTCGAACAGGATGGTGACTTGGACATTAACTTTAGTGATAGAATCACTCTGCAGAAGGCTAAACATTTGGAGGCCGTATGCGTTCCACGCCAAGAATCAATTCTGCTTCTCTCTCAACTTTGAAAGCCAACAACTAGAAGCTGTGAGTTTTGGTGGTACAAAGCTATCAAGTTGTTATCACCAAGTGGCCTGCAAGACATTTCTTAATTATTGTACGAGTAGTTAAAACCTTTATTTGTGTTTACAATAAATCTCTATCTGTGCTTAAAATTAGTATTAGTTATGTGTTTACATTTACAATCTCCTCCTTTGTCACCCACATCAGGCTAATGTTGCTGTCGCTTTGGCCATTATTGTTTGCCTATATCAGATAGATAATGTGTGAAGCCTATATAGCTACATCACTTGCCTTAGCTTCTCAAGCATGGCCTTGGATTCGGAGGTCTTCCGCTGCACATTAATCATGATTACTAGTTCCATACTCATCCGGCGATGTTCTGTGCAGAATAAAGATAAAATGCCACTTAGCCAGCCCACCGGGTCTTCCAATCTTAGACCATCTCCACCCCTTGAAACCTCCATTTCACCGTGCCCTCCAAAATCTATGTGACGACCAAATTCGACCTTGTGAATAAGGAGAGAACTGGCCATTTGTCAGGTTTTCACATTAGCCATAAAACTAGAACCTTTAAACTTACACTTTGAAAATATTAAATTTTCCACTAAAATCGAAATTAGGAGTACATGCCCAAAAACAAATATACGATTGCTAGCGAATATAATTTCAAAATCTCACTATAAGTACAATATGTTAATATTCTTGGTCAGTTAACTATAATTTCTAATAACACATTTGAAGACCTCACAAATCAAATTGTTTTAATCGAGCTCGGTCATCCTATATATCTGAAATTATTTTTGTGATCAACAAAAACAAAATGTGTGAGCTAATGAGGCCAATGGGAATTTTGTATGCATATGTAGTACAGATAATATTTTTAATTAAAAATATTTATTTTCTATTATACAAAATATGTACAAATAAGTGTTTTCTATTATACAAAATATGTATAAATATGTACAAATATTTAGAAGAAGATTTAGAAAAATGTTCAAATTTAAACGAATAACAAAGTTCGATAATATCCAAGTTTAACCAGATAAACAAAGGCAAAAAAAAAAAAAAAACTGTTGACAAAGTATTACCCTTATCCATCCTGGCAAATTTGTGTGCCTGACTTGTTCAATGTCAACACACCAATTGCCTCAAGCTCAAAATATAACAAAATAATTTGTATTATTAAATACCTAATATGAGCAAAATTAACCTTATAACTTTGCCATAAAGGAACGTATGTCAAAGAAAACGTAGATCCTCCGGAAAGTTGATCCTCCGTCAGTTCAACACTTTTTCGAAGAATGTGAACTAACACTTGACAAGAGTCCAGCCTCTCCAAAGTTACTTTGGCTTCACAGCCTCCCTAACATTACTTTGGATTCACATCGCAAAGAGTATAAATTCCAACACATACAAGGATTTATATAAAATTATTAATTATCAGATGGGATAATTTCAGAAAGCTCCCTCAAGATTTCCAATAATTGCACTTAAATACCCTCTAATATTTAAAATTACACTCTTCTCCCTTTTCAGCTGGATATGACCAAATGTCACCATCAATAACTTCCAAATGACTAAACTGCCCTGAAAAAGTTGTAAAAATGAGAAAATGAAATTGCATCAATAAATTTTTTTTTTTAGTGCTTCTTGGCGCCATTTGCGGGTGATGTAAGAACTTGAGGTGCCAATTGGTTACATGGTACCAAGAGAAACCAAACTACTTTTGAAAGGAATGGACTCAAGAAACCAAAGCTTCCTCTAGTTGGTGATCCTTCATCCGGTGAAGAATTTGGGCAAAAAAATGCATCATATATAGCTATTTCAGCTCCATCAACATCACTACAGGTAAAAGATCAAATTGTTTTAATTTATTGAACTTATTTAGAAGTTTTTTAAGTACCGTATCTTGTTGATCATCTTAATACTTGTCATATTAGCATTGAAGCTCCTCACAGCAGCATGTGGCCAAGATATAGGTGTTAGATTGCTTGTAAAAGTAGGCTAAAGGGATAATCCTCATTTGTGGGTGTTCATTGTCTAATGAAGATAAATCAGAGGTTATGTCTATTGTGGTTGATTTTGACATGCATGTGGAGTGCTTGATGTTTTTGGGAGCAAGTGTTTTGGACATAGACTAATGATGAAGTCTGCTCCTACACTGTACTGTACTGATAGTTCATTGTTGATGATCTGAAGAATATGTGCTGAGATTTTAGTAGAAATAAAGATGTTTGATCATTGATTAGGGCCTTAGTCAACTAGACCTTGCACGTTTAATTGAACAGCTTTATTTTCTGTTCATGCAAGAAAATTTTCTCATTCTCTAACTTTGTAATGGACAATGAGCATCATTAAGCTCGAATTAATCATTATATGCAATTCTAATGCTTGAAAGTGTGAAAACAGGATGCCGAGTGCAGTTGTCCATGACATTATTCTTCACTACAAAGAGAAGAAAATTAGAATTCCCAATGTGGATCCTGATGAGTGTTCTTACATAGTGCTTCTTAATGATGTTTATGAAAGAGCACTTCATGAAGTTACTGGGAATTTTAATTATCTGTTACATTTGAGATGTGTTATTCCAAGAAGTGGCAAAACTATGGATGTGAACACTGAAGTTGTTTTTGAAATGTTCAAGAGGCATGAAAATGAGCTGTTTTTGGATTGGATGAAGAACTTTTGGAAATGGTTCCAAAGCTAGTGCTTGCTGTGCTGTTCCTGTATCCCATCACGCCACAGACTGAAGAAGCAAGAATAAAAAAAGACAGCTTGATCAAGGATCCTAGTGCTGGAGTATACTTTATGAAACAAACTGTCGGAAATGCCTGTGGAACAATTGAGCTTCTTCATGCCATTGGGAATATTAGTTCAGAGATAAATCTTGTTGAGGGCTCATACCTGGACAAGTTCTTTAAAACTACGGCAAACATGAACCCAGAGGAACATGCGGCATTCCTTGAAAATGATAGAGAAATGGAAGTTGCTCATTCTGTGGCAGCTACTGGTGGTGACACAGAGGCTAGAGATAACGTGAACACCCACTTTATTTGTTTCACATGCGTGAATGGACAACTTTATGGGCTTGATGGAAGGAGGTCTGGACCAGTTGCACATGATTCTTCCTCTTCAAGCAGCTTGTTGCATGATGCAGCTAAAGTTATTCGGAAGATGATTGAGAAAAACCCAGATTCACTCAACTTCAACGTGATGGCCATTTCAAAAAGGGTTTGAGGAGAATAGACGATGCAACATGAACATCCATTGCTGCCATTGAGGAGTTGAACCACTTGGCTAGGACTGTTATTTTGCGCTAGTCATTACATGTAATGACAGAATCAGTTTTACTGGAATTATTAAGCCCTGGAAGAAGTCAGCTGTATCTTCAAAAATTACCAAGTTATAGTTTTGCCTGATAAGTAAACGATGACTCGTTACTGCTCCTACATACAATGGGGGCAAATTCGGTACAAAATTATGTATCAGCACTTTTTCTCAAATTTTAAGAAAGCTTTTGCTGGTAGGGACTAAAATTGTTATATATGTCATTCAAGGGGAGGGGAGTGTAATTTTTAATATTAGAGGGTATTTAAGTGAAATTGTCAAAAACTTTGAGAGAAGTTTCTGAAATTATCCCTTATCAGATTGCAAAACTCATGTTCGCTAGGCCAAAGGAGCTTATCCGAACAAAATCAGACATTTGCAAATCATAATGGAAGTGTGCCAAATCTCAAGTTTGTAAATATCCCTCAACGTGCCACATAGATGTGCAATTTGGTTTGTTTGGATTATAAGTTATTTGAGATATTTGTACTGTAATACTTTTTGTGATGTGATGTATGTGAGATAAAAAGGTGTACTGAAAATTGTAATGATGATATAAGCAAATATATTTTGAAAAATAATTAACTGTCCAAAATGTTTGTGCTAAACTGAATACAATTGCGTAATTTTTACCCCGTCTCCAAAGTCCCCGAATTTGCATGAAGACTTGGCATAATTTATTTAATGATCTAGGTAAATATAGCTTGAATAATCAAATTGGAAAAACTAAGATCTGTGTATAGTTTATTCAATATAATGGCCAAGTCAAACACTGAACTCCTTTCATTTAATATTTCAAAGCTTGAGTCAAAATCGATGTCATGTGGATGAATTTCACTACATAATACATGACTGGAATTGCAAATTTAAAAAGTAGTTTATTTAAATGAAAGGGCTTTGGTTCCCATGTCATGTTTCAACCTTTTAGAATTTTCACACGTCCGCTTTTCAATAGTCTAAAATAAACATGATTCAAAATTGTACAAGTTCCAAAAGTTATACTCAAATCAGGTTTTAGGGAAAAAATTGAGTGTTAAGAAAGTTATAAAATTGCATGTAATTTTGTTATCATTTATCAATACATATTCATTATGCTAAACTGACTATGGCCAAGACACATCCTAAACTTGTAGGGTAACTCTGGATCCTATCAAAAGTCATAGAAGTATCTCTTTAGCCTTCCCCACAACAACAATTCAGTTTGTAAGGTACTGTTGGTATACCTAAAAGGTAATTCGCAATTAAAACTACTTACCGTGGCATTCTAATACGAAACCAAATTGGCTAGGTAAAGTATTTGCTAGCACCCAATATTCAGCGGTACTAATGCTCAGTTAAATGGGTATACATCAAGCTATATAGGTCAAAAAATCATAAAATTTGCACCATTAGAAACTAGACTCAAAGGCTAAAAATCTTTAAAAGACATCATTAGACGATTCAGGCCACAAACTGGTCCAATTCGAGTCACAATTCAATGCTATTTTCATTTCTTAACTGTGTAGGTTACGGTTTCCAGCCAACTTTGCAAATTTTCTGGTACTTACAGACAATGAGGAGCGACAGTTTCCTCAATGTCTTTGAACACTAGTTGTAGAGTTTCGATCGAGCCGTTGCTCGTACATGTAATTTTTTTACCATTAAAGCAATGAAATCATCTTATCGTTTCGAAAAAAAAAAACAGACAATGAACAGAGTTGGAATTTTATACCACTGAAAACATTTTCAAATCTAGTTTCAAACACAATTGACGATACTTAATTTTGACTTTCCTACAACAAGTTATGACTAATTTCCTAAAACTGAGCAGAGGTGACTCTTAGTTGCGAAATTGCTTAAAACTCAAGGTGTTCTTGGTTATCTACATTAAAATTCTTCCAATTCCTTGTGTATATCCATGTTAGATTCTTGGTTACAAGTCAGTAGCAATATGTACAAGAAATCACTCCGATTTACGACTGTCCACTCTCATTTCCCAACTTATAGTGATCAAACTCATATTTTTCAAATGCAATTGATGGCAATCAATTTTGACTTTCCTATGACAAATTATCGCCATTTCCTAAAATTGTGCAGAGGTGACGGTTAGCTATGGAATTGCTTAAAACTCAAGGTATTCTTGGTTATCAACATTAAAATTGTTCCAATTCCTTGTCTATATCCATATTAGATGCTTGGTTACAAGCCAATAGCAATATGTGCAAGAAATCACTCCGATTATGGATTTCCACTCTCATTTTCCAAGTAATAGTTATCAAACTCATCATTTTTTGGTTCATAAAGATCACCACATTCTATTACGTTCTCTGTTTCCTAATTCTTCAAACAAGAATAAAAGAATCAGAAAGGAGTTTGGCGGCAGGATGAGATAGACATAGGCAAATTTTGTTTTTTCTCCCTCATATTCTTGTTACAAATATAAGTTATACCCATATTTGAAAACAATTTCTAATTCAGCCACAAATTTTAGGCTTTTAAAGTTTGGGTATTTAGCAGTGAAAGAAACTGGAAACTACAGCTGGATCTGTTTGGCTAGTGACATTCCGGTGATATGTTTGGTAAAGTTTTAAGGGCATCCCGGTGTAGTTTCATGAATAGAGACTACAGATCTTTGAATTTCATATCCTCCATTGCAAGTATCAGAAAAGTAAAGACTTTTCCCTATTAAATGGAGCCATGAAGTTAATCATTCGTCATTCTATGATTACTGCAATTTTTTGAATGTTACAGGTGATTATTTGTGTATTCATCTCTTCCACAGTAGGGAAGGAAGGATATAAGACATGTAAGGTTCCTGGGTTCCACCTATGAGTGCACTTTTGCCTCTTCTTCAAGGTGATTAGAGATAGTGATTTGTATCTAATGGTATAAATTCATTATTAGTTGGTCCTAAGGACCTATTTTGTTGCCTATACATGTTGTTAGTTCACGGCTTTGAACATGTTCAATTTGGTTTTGGATAGCAACTTGAAAATTCTGTTGCTTGCACTATAATATAGCATTCGATTTTTTTTGTTAGGGTTAGCTCCTAATATTGAGCATTTGCCTAGGTCAGATCGGATTAGATACTTTTGAAGCTTGACAATCTAAATGTTGCTCAATGGGATGCCTCTGGTGACAGAAGTACTCGTACGTACCACTAAGGATTGGCTGGGTTTGTATTAGAATATTAGATCATGAACAAATGGGTATTTTGTTGTGATTCTATATGTATTCACATAGCAGGACGCTTTATTATTACCAACTTATTGGATCCTCCACCTTCTTTCACCACTTAAACATGATTATTTCACTTGCGAATCTTGAAGCTAGGCTTTTTCAATTTAGTTTTGCTTTCTTATATGTACACTATTCTGGTGACAAAGGAATTGTACCAGATGCAATATAGGCTCATTAGTACTACTGTTTCTGTCAGTATTGTTACGAAATGGTTTTTGATTCTAGTTGCAAGGGCACCAGTTCTCCTAATTGTGATGGAAAATCTACTTGAAAGACATGAAAATAATTCCTGTAGTTCATTAAACTAGCATCCCCATATTTGCTTGAGTTGGCTTTCTTGAAAATTGAAGTAGATCTCTTTTCAAGGAGAAGAAAATCAAATTCTCAGCAGATGACAGGTGTCGAGCCTATGCAATAATAATAACTAAAAAGTCCAAATTACCACCACAATTAATTATAAAACAAATCCAAGTACTGGAGCAGGGACCCTAGGTGTGCAACGGGTTACTTGATTCACCCTGTTCCCAAAGAGTTTGCTTGGTTCGATATACCAGAATTGTCTATAAAAATATTCAGTTTGCATACAATGGCAAGTAGGGTCGATTCCACAGGGAACGGCTAGGAATTTGTTTCTTTCCAAGTCAATAGAATAAAATTGGGGATGATTAATGGGATGAAAATGGAAATAAAATAAATAAAATTCAAAAGATAACTCCACAAGTACAATTTACTAAAAATAGTAATTAATAAAATTCTACCCAAAGGATCAACTTTTCAGGCACTGTCCAATTAAATGATCATCGATGCAACGATATTTCATTCATCCGTCACTAGGTTGGTTATAGCAATCAACAAGTTCTGATAACCAGTTCTTCCTTACTTTTTCGACAGTCAAGGTACGACCATTGACTGCTTCTCTAACGAGAAAACAACCTTAGGTACGACCGTAGGAATTTAATTATCCAGTTGCATTAAAACTAAAAGAACCCAACCCTAACCAATAAACATGCTAAGAGAGTTTATTTAAATTAGATCTTGCGTTCCCCCAACATAAAACCAATTATGGTGGTTGTCACTAGATATCAACTAAACGAATAATTACGGATTTAATTTAGTTAATGTGGCAGTAGGCTATTAACTTAAATCAAATACCCGACCGTTGATATTCAATTAATAAAATACCCATGAACAATTAATCCAGGAAACGCACGAATAGTAACAAATTGGAAGAAATAATGAAAATTCGATTAGATCTCACAGATGTTATGGATCGCGCCCTCGCGTCGACCTTTGGGTAGGAGAGAAACCTAGCTGCTCCTCATCGTGTCACTTTCGTTTGATTTGATTGATAACATCCACGCAATTACCAAAGAATTGGGAAAAGTGAAATAACGCAGAAAGCAAAAAGAAAAGTCTTTAAGTATCTTTTCTTGCTTCGCGTCTGTCCGGAGAAGAAAAGGAATCAAGCAAAAGTCTTACTCAATTCGTACAAAAGCAATGGCCAAACATCAATTGTTCTCCAGGAAAAAAATAAAGCTAATCTACTATGCTCGCGTGAATCTGGCCTTTTCTCTATTCACTACCGAAAAAGAAAAGCACACGTCTGACCCCTCCCAAATTGAAACTAAAGCTACTCTAATCTATTAGCCATCAATCTAGCTTGTTTTTTTTTTCTTTTTGTAGCGCCGCTAGTAGAAGAAGAAAACGTCTGAGAGTTTCACTTTCTCTAGGGGGCTGGGTTTTGATCCTATGCATCTGGTTCACGTGGACCTGGTTTCCTAGTTGGCCCTGCTGCTACCAATCCCGCGGGTCCGGCTTTGGGTA